GGTTAGGGTTAGGGTAAGCATTGGGGCTAAGTCCAGGGTTGGGGTTTGGGTTGGGATTAGCGGTAGCTCTATTTACATCTCGTCTCGTAACCTAAGACGAAAAATTGAGCTGGCCTTATTATTTAGCACTAACCGTGGAATAGCTGGATGAGATGTCGTTAATTTTATTTACTGCTTCTCACCTGTGCCTGAAAATTAAAATGTTCCTAGTCGCTCGGAGGGGGCGAAATATCTATACCCACTCGTGTACACGCTGATATGCACATAAAACAACCCCTAGAATTTGAATTCTGTGAGTCCGGGTAAAATTCTTTCCCTGCATTGTACATGCAACTATAGAAATTCACCTTATTTTGTTAGTCTCAAAATAATCGAAGTGTAGTATGGAAAACCAAACCGCTCTTTATTCAGTGTTCTTAATTCATCTTATTTCTTCATTAAAAAAAATTGTTGTCGTATTTCGACATTAGTATACATTAGTGTACTAAAATTAACATTTGTATCAATATTATTTGTTTTACAAATCAGACATTTGTCATATCAGATTTGTAAATTGTATCTTTGTTTAAAGATACATTATGGGAGATTAGATAAAGAGCTGGCAGTTCTCACTATAATAGTTTAAAACTAGATAATGTAAAGGGAATTTGCTGAAAATTTCAGTCAAAATGCTACACTCTGAACCGTGATGTTAGCGATTGAATTTTAGGCCTAGCCTCGATCATCATTACTAATGTCGGTACGATAAATAAAAATACATAGTCTCGATTATAAACAATTAATGCACACATCTTGTCAAAACTACAAACATTAATAACTTTGCTCAGAATAAAGTAGTTTGAATGAAATTTTCAGTATATTCATTTTGCATTATCTATGAAATGAAATGTAATTTTTTGATTTTCTAAAAGATATTTTATCATTATATTAAAATTAAATTAAAGATACATTAAAAACTAGATAAAGTAAAGGGAATTTGCTGAAAATGTCGGTCAAATTGATACCCTATGAACCGAGATTTTAGCGATTGAATTTTCGGCCTAGCCTCGATCATCATTACCAAAGTTGGTAGGATAAAAAACATAGTCCCGATTATCCATTTCATGATTTAATTATGAATGGAAGTCGAACAGCAAATCGGAACCTAATCCAATAAACATCACAGCCTAGCGATGCCATCGAGAGTTGATTATGGTCTGGATAAGTTAATTAATGTCTAATTAATAATTTAGATAACATTTCAGGCCTAAAGAAAGACCTGCAATAGGCAGATTTACCTCTTGCATAAATGTATGTTTAAACAAAGATGCAGTTTTTGTTTACAAATATGACAACTGTATTGATTTCAAGATACAAAATATGTTAATTTTAGCATACAAATGTCGAAATAGGACAACAAATGAAGAAATAAGAATTAAGGACTATGAATTAAGAACTAAGAATTAAGAACACAGAATAAAGAGCAGTTTGGTTGTCCATAGTATTGTGTTGACGCAACTTTTAAACACAATTCCATTCCAATACGACGAGTCACATCAGCTATAATGCTTGTCCGATCGAATATTAGATATTGTAGAGTGATTTATACGACCCTGAATGGGGTCTTACACTATAAGTTTTAAACGAATATATTTGGGTTTAATTTCGATTGTTAAATGCCTGTCGTTGAAATGGACATATCGAGTCTGGATGGTTGGGAACCGACGTCTGTTCTCGAGTAAAGTATAGGAAATTAGGAATAGTCACTGATATTATCAAATCAAGAAGACAATATAGCAACATTAGTGAAATGTGCTTACAGAACTGATCGGAAAATTAACAGTTATACTCTAATGTTGATTAACGTTAGATGAAAGCAGGAAAGGCATTTCCATTAAGCCATCACGACAACCAGTTTTACTCAGATGACGTCTATCATTTGACGCGGTTAAAGGCACGAACCTTGTCTCGCCTTATCTTTAGACATATAATGGGAAAAAAGGAAAAGTTTATCAATATCGTCACGCAAGACTCACAGACTGGAAGCCGACATTTTGTATAATTTTGTCAATAATAACCGAGTTGTGTTATACATGTAAAACTAGTAAATAAAAAATATAGTACTAAAATGTAACGGCACTGAGAAAACTTATAAATGTCCATAGATTAAAGGGAGGATATACTTTCTCATTCCGAGACACATGATACCACTGGCCACTGACTTCATCTTAGTGTAAACCGCTGTTGTTCTGTGGTAAGTTCAATAGCTAATATTGACATTTAAATTTGGTATTGGGCAGTTTGTGTATTACACAATTTTCCTGTATTGTTCTAGTCAATCAGGTGTTTTTATTCGGTGTTCCACAAGGCAGTGTCTTGGGGCCGATTTTATTAACACTTTATACAACCCCTTTTAGCAACATAAGTAGAAAATATAAAAATGGCATAATGTTCACCTCTACACCAAACTTTATATAATACATGGCGTTTAAAAACACACTGAAATTTTAATGGCTATAAAATCACAGCTCGAAATGTTTATAAATTAATGAGATAAAAAAATGGGTATCTATAAATTTCTCAAGTTACATGATAGCAAATCAAAACTCATTATATTTGGTTCTAAACAATCGTTGTATAAAATTACTGCATGTTTAAAAATTATTTAGATACGCAATCTCATAATGTGCACGACAATTTTAATCTTAGAAATATGAGTAAAGTCAACGGAATTTGGGATCCACGGTGGCTCAGCGAGTAAGACGTTGGCTGACTAATTTGGAGATCCCGTGCTCGATCATTGCGTTGACTGAGAAGGCTCGTCGAGATTTTCCGGCGTGGTTCCTCCTTGTCAGTGGTGCAGAACCGAGGGGCAACGTATAGTCGTTCGGATGGGACGAAACTCCCAAGGTCCCGTACAATAGGCGTGCACGTTAAAGATCCCTTGGCAGTTGAAATACGATATAAGAGTAGGCCGTAGCGTCCCTGTCCGAGCAAATTTCTGTTATGTAGGGTACATGCCCGCCTTCATTATAGCAGAAAAGTAGGACCCCCCCCCCCCCGCCCCCATTTCATTTAATTTCAATGGAATTTAACTACCGGTATTCTGCCTCAAAACAATTATATTTTTTTTGCAACTTTGTTTACGTAATAGCCAGTTATTTTTATTATTATTATTTCACAGGCTGTCATTGTTATTTATATTTTCTTTTTACTGTCGGTGTTGTATTGTCTCGGCTACCGGGCAAACCCCCTCCTGCAAAAATTCCTGGATCCACCTCTGTCACATTTTCTTCTTTATTCTTTGAAATCACTCAAATAAATACTATGGTGTTATTTTGAATCATAATGCAGTAGACAACACGATAATATCTACGTTAAAACAAAAGTCTCTGTTTTCTCACGTACTCGACAGAATGTAATATATCCTACAATTACTGGTAACATAATTGTCCTAATATGCTGTTTTGGCCGATGTCGGTTTTTGCAGTAGATCTGCTATGGACCCTACAGGGTGTGCAAGAGAAAGGTTGTTATTTTTTTAAACAATTAATTATATTTTTCACTCCTGTTCATCTGCTGTTTATAGCTGATGAATTTATATGTGAATTTATTACAATTATCGTTAGTGAAATTAAGTATGCTATACTGTTTAGATTTAGGGAGCCACAGTGGCTAGGTGGGTAAGGCGCTGGCTCGCTAGCCTGGAGGTCGGGTGTTCGATCCCTGCATTGGCCGAGAAAGTTCATCCCGATTTTCCAGCGTGGTTCCCCCTTGTCAGGAGGGCCTGACAAGGACAGCTGTCTAGTCCTTCGGATGAGACGAAAAACTGAGGTCCCGTGTAAACATTGGAATGCACGTAAAAGATCCCTTGGCAGTTGGAATTCGATATAAGAGTAGGCGATGGTGCCGCTGCCCGGGCAAAATTTTCCTCATAGCACACTGTATGGCGTATGCCCGTCTTCATTAGCCCAGTATAGGAGCAGAACAGTAGGACGTTAAACCCCATTTCATTTCATTTCTGTTTAGATTTCTTGTGCTTACCGTAATCGATTTTTTGGTTAAGAGTTATTTCCCTTTGATTAAGAAACCAGACTTCTTTCACTGTGAACGTAAAGAAAACAACAGCTATAATAAATCTTTTCATACAGATTTTGTCATTTTGGTGTGTCGATTGCATACCCCACCTCTCGGAGTCCACCTAATCGTGGCCATTTTGCTTAATTGGCGTGTGGTCGTTGTGTTAAAATTTAAAAATTGCGAATTAAAATAGGTCAATAACTGAATAAAAATTAAAAAAAAAAAAAAAAAATACAGCCACATATAATCTGGATAAATTTATTTGATATAGTCCACTTTTTTTCTTTTTTTTTTTTTACTTCCACTCCTTTCCCGGGCGATTTAAACTATGTAGGCATAACTAAATCAAAAAGACATTTGAATAAATGATATTAGATCAAGTTGAACTAAACACAAATATTAACACAATTTCCTGTGTAGTTAGAATTTCTGGATTGGTGTGGTGTACCGCGAGTTGATCTTATAAATATGAGTATTCAAATGATCTTAAAATAAGTAAATTATCAAAATGCATCAGCAAATTGTCATAACGTGCTTTATAATCTGATTCGTGCTTTTTAGAATGTAAATCTGTGCTATCATTTTGAATAATAACTTTATAAAGTAATCTATTCCGGATAATATGATACACGATATCCGTATTTACGTCATAATTTTCATGTTTGATTTCCTGACTGGCGCGTGGACTCCCTCTCGTGATGACGTATGCGTTATAGTTAATGTCGTAAGCGAAACATCCCACTATAAACTTATTCTAATGGCAATCAAACAATGACACCTACGTTGACCTATTAAACGGGGGCATTGTTTATTACTTATCAATCGGCCTAAGGCCAACTAAATATATACAGGGTGGTTGAGATATTAGAAGGCGGTCGGCGATTTTATCATGTAACCGTGATTAGGATGAACGTATTTTAAACTACGAGGCTTATGAACACCGTTTACTTGATCCCTTTCACGCAAATCCCGAGTCGGTGCATAAGTTTAACGTTAGCAGAAGAGTTCCCAGTGCGAGAAATCGGATCTCAACACACAACGAGACATCAATACTGTTAGCCATACCCCCCGTAGTGACATGGACTCGTCCGCATCAGTAAGCGTGCCGTGAAATTTTAGTCCTCTGACTGTGTTGCATTGTATTCTTCGTACATGGAAAGACAGCGACATATAAATTGATAAGATAGTTCTTCGATATCGGATGCTAAGTAGCTGCTAAAGTTTATGGGATTATATAACATTGTGGACTTTAAAAAGTAGGTTATTGGGACCTTACAGCCTCACACACAAGAGCGGAAGTGTTGTTTCGAAGGCAGTCTATTTTTAAAGATGTCATTGTCCGTAAAGGGACTTATGTCCCCTGTTTGGAAGCAAACTCCTTAGTAGATGTGATAAGAATCTTCACATCGGGGGAGATTAGGGCATCGTTGTGCATGGTGGTAGCATGGGGGATTTTTTTTGCCCCAAAAGGCGGGACGTTGTTGATCGGCTGAGAAAAAGAATCGAAAACTACCGTCGACATCATTTCGGCCGAGCTGGAGGCTACGACAACAATAATTATAACGGACTAGGAGAACACTATCGTCAGGACAATTTATTACCAGCACTACACCAAAGGTGGCGAGAAAGTAGAGCTAAAAAGACAGCTAAATCTTCTAAAGCGAACAAAGACGCTTGCTCTCAAAGCGAACACCGAAACCTAATTGTTACGGTAAGACATCTTTTCCCCTGCTCTAAGTATAGTATTATAAAGCCATGGGCTTGTGTTTATTATAGACTGACTGATTCATTCTGTGTTATGTTCACATGGGCCTACTTCACTTGTCAGACTAGTGGGATAGTCCCGACTGCATTTGATTTTGAGCGGCTTGTTCCCTCTATTTAGGCCTAATAGTCGAGTTCACGTTTGATTGGTATTAACGGGTTAAGCGGAGTTTTAAGTGTGAACTTTTAGTCGTCTGGCAACGGTTAACACCCTGCTACAAGTTTAATAATGAAAGCAATAAGGTTGAATCAATTAATATACTTTCCCTAATATTTACGTGTTTCCTACCTAACTTATATATAAATTAAAATATAGCTATAAATAAAGATGTGTGCCAACGCACTCAAGTTTGTTTGGATATTTTATTAACTGAGTTTTGCTAACTTCGACTTCATCATTCTTCTTCACTTTAAGAAAGAGCACTTGATTTTTGTAATAGCCAACATTCGCAGTCTTAGAACATACACAAAACCCATGATATTATTAATAATACTATTTATAGTGTTAGGGGCACAAAATCCCAATCATTAACTGTAATAAAAACCATAATAATAATGTCTGTTACTGTTGTCAACAAAAAAGAAAAATGTTACCGGTCTGTAAATTCACCTTTAATCAAATCGAATAAGAATGTTTTTAAGAATCTCTTGATTTTACAGTGCTGTTTATTATTATTAAGTTAAATTGTTGTTATTGTGCGTGTGATTTTGTCTTGTGCACAGGTTGGTTTTCTATTTGTGGTGCATTTCTCCAGCACTTGCATTATTATTATGAAATCTTTAGTTTGTAAATTATCAATATTTTCTGATGGTATTTTGACCAGTTGTCTGATGTGGAATGTGGTTTATGTTTAACCTCCCTACTCCACCCCACTCCCCAATTGTAGTAATATGGTACATCTACACATATGAGTGTAGTATGACTTGTTTTTGTACTATGTAGGTGTATATCCAACATAAATTGAAGCTGTCATGATGACTCTGATCAATAATGTTTGTTTGCTAATGGTCCAAGTTGCAGACCAATTCTGTACCACGTCTTCAATCATCAAGACTCTCTGCATTCTTAGAACAAACAACTTGCTACATCATTAATAAGCTTAGAGACTATTAGGTTAATGGCTAGACAAAACTCTTATTTTAATCTTTGGTATATTATTTTATTCAAAAACATTTTGTTTATAATGGTCAGTTTCAAAGTTATGATGTTTCATTGCCGATTGTATCCTACATGTACATGTATACTGGATCAATTCATCATCATCATCTTAGAATTACCATTAATTAATTTTTTCAAATATTTTTTAATCTTCTATTTATAATCACATCCGAAATCTCCACTTTTGAGCTCCATTTCTTTATAAGACAAAGTAGTATGGTATAAGGTTGTGAATTAAAAGGTGTTACCGTTTTGATGGTTAAACATACATTATGTAAGATTTAGATAAAGAACTGGCCGTTCTTGCTATAATAGTACAAAAATAGATAATGCAAAATGAATATACTGAAAATTTCATTCAAATTACGGGGGGTTGGATGGCTGAATGGTTAGCGTGCGCGCGTTATATCATAAAGCCTGTCATTGAGTCGACTGGCGTGGTTTCGAATCCCCGGTTGTACGTGGCAAGGAGTAGGGTCGCCTGTCCAACCTCGTGGGTTTTCTCCGGGTCCTCCGGTTTCCTCCCACTGCTAAAGACCCCTACGCGCAAGCGAATTATGTAAATAAAATTAAACCATATGTTAATCCCGAAATGACCTAGTTTGTGTCGAGTGGACGTTAAACTCCATTTCTCTCTCTCTCATTCAAATTACTTTATTCTGAGCCAAGTTAGTAGTGTTTTTAATTTTGACAAGATGTGTGCATTGATTATTTATTATCGTAACCACCTAATCTACATGAAATCAGAGCCATCCAATGGCATCGGCAGTTGATTATTGTCTGTACTATTGTCATGTTAATAAATGTCTAATTAATAATTTGTATAACATTAAAATGATCAAAGAAAGACCTGCAATAGGAAGATTTAACTCTTGAAGAATGGCTCTTTAATTATGATATAACTAAGTGTGTACTATAAAGGTGTATTATCTACTGATGATATGAAATACACATGTAATACACACTAGAATAATTGTTGGTGATATATACATTAGATATATAACTGTTAGGTAATACTTGATGTGGGAATAATGGTTATGATATAGTGAATAGTTAGACAAGGCTATATGAAGATGATATTACTGGAAATATAGGTTAAATATATACAATGTCACATGAATGTGTAGTATAATAGATGGAGCTAAATGGCCAGTTACTTGCTTTAACATCATTTAGGCGTTTTTACAAAAAAGACGATTATGGCTAATAGGTTTGTAAATCCTTTTCAAACAAATTTATGGCAAAAATTAGCCTAATCGGTTTCATCTAATTGTCATATTTACCACAACGATTATGCAAATCTTCCAACTTGCTCGCCTGCCAGATTGACGATTTGATTTCCAAGATGGCACCCCCCACAAGCGACTCGACGTGCCCGACGTTAGTTCATTTTCTTTTGAATTTCACGTTAAAATATGAATAGCATGGACATTCCGAATAGAAATACGGTACATTTGTGAACGGTCAACTGGTACAACTTCTCGTTTTTATTTTTGGGCGGTGTCTTCAAGAACAGAATACAGAAATATTAATTTTTTAACATTTTTCCTTAATTCTTCAGTCTTCAGCCATCTTGCGAGGCAACTCGTCGTGTTTACGAGAACCAGTTCAAATACCAACCAACTTGAGACCTACGTCTTGTACAAAACGATATAGGTAATCGAAATGCTTTAGGCAACAAAGACATTAATTAATAATTTATATTTTGTTGTTGTGTGAATAACACGCACTCGTTCAATATAAGTTTTCAATACTTTAATGCTGCATGTTTATTATGATTGACAGAAAAATACGATAACACAACAATAATGACAGGTAGGGTGTATCTGTAGGACACAAATAATTAATATTAATAAGCCTTAAAATACTACATGAATGTATACATGATGACAACATCTAGCACAACCAAAACGCTGGGTCGAGCGTCACAGACTTGACTTGCATAAAACTGAATGTTTTTAGGGACACAGTCTGTGTTGTTGATCTTACATGTAATACAATCTATGATGTGTCCCCTTGTTTGCATTGTTTCTCACCATTTTGTATGATGATCTGGGATCCAAGAAATCTACTAACAAATTCTATGTCATGGCGTCTTTCCAACCAAACCAAAGACCGCCAATTATCAAGTCTAAACAAATTACATTAAATTGAGACTGGACAATCGGGTGTCTTTTACAGGAAACTGTGCAAAATATTGGTTTTGCACTTCAGAATACAGCGAATTACATATTTCGAAACAAAATAACAATTTGCATCTTGCATTTCTGTGTAAATATTCAAGAAGACTAATTTGTGATAATAAGTTACTAGTGCCAGTGTCATAGTATGGGCTATAAATGTGAATTGTGACAGACAGCGATATGATTTATATCCCGGTTTACAGACAAATATATTATAGGTAGACGGTTGAACTTTATAACGTTATTATGTGTATATTCCAGCTTGTTACCTTCCACAATGGCCTTACAGTATACTTCAAGTTAACAATCTAATCTGTTTATCTACTGTTAGTGTTTTTCTTCTTGAATATTTAAAACAATGAATTATTAATGACTAAATGTTGTCTGGATACATGCAGCTAGGTGAACTTGTCAATAACCTAAACAACACTGTAGGCATGGGTTCACTCGCATCATGCATATTTGATTAGCCACTACTACAGCAGAAAGTGTAGTGACAAGTCATTTACTAAAACAGAAAATGTTGGAACTAAATTTGATAACAAATGAAGAGTTTGCAAAATACTTGTAGATCCATCCCATAGAAACTTGTCTAATGTTAGTAATTTTATTCAGATATCAGTGATAATGAACATTACATCAGCTAAAATAACAAACACATGCAGGATCTAGTGTGCATGCTTTTCAACTATAGTTGATATAACTTTATTCTTTCTTCTTAAACCTATAACTGTCATCCACCATTCTTGATACCCCGACTGTATACCATTGTTAAACCTGTAACTGTCATACACCATTCAATTCATGATACCCCGACTGTATTCCATTCTTAAACCTGTAACTGTCATACACCATTCATGATACCTCAACTGTATACCATTCTTAAACCTGTAACTGTCATACACCATTCTTGATACCTCAGCTGTATACCATTCTTAAAACCTGTAAATCTATACACCATTCTGAAAACTATGACTGTCATACACAATGCTCAACACTATAACTGTATTACTGTATGTATGTAAACTATACTTTATAACTGGCCTACACCATTCTTATATCTGGTTCTATCAAACACCATTACCATTAAACACTGTCATACACTATTCTTAAGAGCATTATTTAAACTTTTAGGAAATGTATACTTCTTTTCTGTCTCAGGAATTTTTTTTATAATATCAGTGCCAGTAGATACAAGAATAACAAATTGAATGACTAGAATATACATGTACCTGGGAGACTGAATCGGTTCCCTTGATTCGGTTGTGTATTTGTTTAATTAATTAAATAGAAAAGTAGTTTAGTACTATAGTAATTTTGTCTAGTCATTGTTGATATTTTAAACAATGTTAGTAGAGCTACCGAGTAACTCTTAATTGAAATTGATCTACATGTATAGAATTATTGATTACATTCCATAAGTGTATTTGTTATTATTAAAAATTTCCAATTGATTTGAATTAGAATTGGATTTGGATCAATTGGTTCTGTGTAAGTTTACATACCGATACTGCAGAGTCCAAAACAAGTACATTTTATATTTTGAAATGTTTCGAATCCCCGGTTGTACGTGACAAGGAGTAGGGTCGCCTGTCCAACCTCGTG